TCTGTGTCTCTGTGTCTCTGTGTCTCTTTACCTCTTTTCTTTCTTCCTTCCTCCCTCCCCTTTCTAATAAAACTTCTCACTCAAGCTCTGTCTGCCTGGCATATTAGTCCCCCACCTCGGTTACCCTCACTGGCCATGGGATCCGCCATGGTCCCCCACGCAGGACCCCCTTTCCAGCTTTATCCTATCATTGAAGCAAAAGAACAACACATAGAGCTCTGTAGGGGGCAGGCTGGCTTTCTGAGAATGAGAGTGAAGAGAGAATTAGAAGGTGTGACAGGGTGAGAAGGACAGGGCAGAGATGATCTGAACAGGCTCAGGTCGGAGGCTGGCAGTGAACTGCTTTGACTTCCTGACAAGGAGCGGTTATCACAAGAATCACATTCTGCTAAACATGTGATTTGCTTACCTTGTATTTGTTAGGAATGCATGGGTTTCTGTAGTTTCACCTGCCCATACCTCCTTCCCCCCCCCCCCCCCCCCCCCCCCCCCCCCCCCCCCCCCCCCTCTACTTTTAGAACTCTTGATCTCTTATCTGGGCAGTTAAACACAAGGCTGATGGCATTCTGGCTCTAGGGTTAGACTGGCTTCATACAATAATATATGCAGTGATTGGCTCTGAATAGTGTGTGTGTAAGTATGACCATATGCAAATTCACACATATGTATGTGTGCAGTTTAATATGCTGAAAGAAAGTCCCTTCAATACTGAGATTGTGTGTAATAAGGATCACATGATTGTGGCGGGGGTGGGGGGGGAGATGACTGGTAGTCAAACAGACAAATACTGACAAAAAAGAAACAGTGACTGAGAGAGAAGATATGGCACCATGGGACTTATTGGGAACAGTTATGTTTGGAGCCAGGCTACCCCTTGGACTTCCCAGTTCATTGAATCAATGAATTAGCCTTTTAAACTATGGTTCCAAGTGGAATTTTGTCACTGTGACTCTGAGGTCCTGATTACATGTTATTGTGTAAGCAACACTTCACAATGCTTTTGTCGCATTGGCTTTTCTGAGACCATTATCCTATATGCATAATAAAATGTACTTTAAAAATTTAAAGGTGTAGAGTGCTGTATGTTTGTATATGAGGCGTAGTCACGATATAAAATAACAATATTCATGGCTCTTAAAGCATTTTGTTTTCAAAATTTCTAAGACTGTAACTGTTGAAATTTCGTCTCTATAATTTCGATCTTTTTAACTGAATTCTTATGGTATTTCTACTCAGACCTCTCATCAGTTTCTAGACTAACAGATCCACTCATCTTTTTAGGTGACCTGGTAACCCCCGGCTTCCAGGAGATCACCTTATTATGTCACCTGATCGACACATGGCCTAGAACTCCTGAACTCAACTGGTCCTCCTGCTTCAGCTCCACAAGTATGGGGGACTACAGGCATGCACCACCACACCCAGTTTCCTTTCCTATATCTAAGCAATGTGCCCTTTCTGCTCTTTATCATTTTCGACATTATCTCCTGGCTTCCTGTTACAGAAGATGAGCCTATGTCCCCAATACTCTTCGTCTCCTGTGCTTTTATCTGCACCCATCCTGCCGAGATAATATGATACAATACTGTTAGCCTTCTTCTGACCAATGTCAATATCACTCACCACTGAGCCAAGGTGTGTAATGTAATGTAATGCTTCCCTCCTCAGACCACTGTTTGTTCTTCCTGCGGGGTGGGGGGCACTGTCTTATTTTGTTCCCTGGCTGGGTTTTCTCTGTACCACCATTTAGCTTTTTTTCCCCCAAATACGACAGTTCCTCTAGCAAGTGCCCAGAATATTGTTTCCAAGTGCTCACACACAAATAAGTGATAACAAGTAACCAACTCTGTGCTTCTCTATGGGCCCCTCCTTTCTAGAAACATCCATCGGTTTCCTGTCTCAGTCTTGGTTGATGGCTTTTACAGTATGTGCACAGCAGGGATCTGGGTCTGTGTGTGATAAGTCCTGTATCTTTCTTTCCATCGGTCTGCTTGGTGTCGGCCTTCATATAGTAAGATAGCCAAAAAGCCTTGCTAACAATCAACTCTAGCAAAAGGGATGTTCTCACTGTAAATGCCTCTGTTCCATCCCCATGGTAGGTGTGGCTCATTGATCTTTTATTCACCAAAGAGATGGCCCCTGTGCTTGGCATCTTCTCCTGGAAGACATATATCCAGGGAGGCATCACTATTCTTTAAGAAGAGCCAGACAGGCTGACTGTACATTTCTACTGCAGGACTGAAGCAAAAACAAACAGATGGAGTGGCAGAACCTTGGAAGCCAGAGGACCAGCATTCTTTCTAATAAGGAAAATTCATTGGTGTTGCTTACTTCAATGTCCATGCCTCTCGATGCTAAGAACCAGATTGGATTTCGAAGTCTAACCAAGATTCTAAGTTTCTCCTATTTCAACAAAATCTTGGGTTAGGGCCTAGGAATGATTCAGTGGTTAAGAGTATTTGTTGACTGCTCTTCCAGAGGACCTGACTTTGGTTCCCAGAACATGTGTTGGGTGGCTAACTTCAGCTCTGGAGGAGCTACTGCCTCTGACCTCCGAGAACACCTGTACTCATTTGTGTATACATGCCCACACATAGAGCACATACCTCCACATAATTAAAAATAGTAAAAATGAGTCTTCCTTTTACAGCTCTGATTATAAAGAATGTTCTGACTTGGACATAGTTTACCAAATAATAAGAGAAAATTTGTAACTCAACAGTCAGTGGTCCAAACAATAGTCCTATTGGTTAAGCTTTCTCTGCGGATGCATCAAGCATTGCTGAATCTGAATCTGGGTTATCACATTTTCAGTTCACAGGTGCTTTCTCACATTCTCTGAATGATGCATTTCAGAGCATTCCATGCCACCCACATACCTCAGTTTCATCTGTACAATGGGCTTGTAATCCTCCCTGCTTGGTGACGATCAAATGAGGTGGTGCTTGGTAAGCACTGAGGTGTGCAAGAAGTATATAACTGGCATTCGGCACATTTTGTCATTCGAGCTTTAAGAGGAAGAGTGTTCCCTTGGCTCGGTGTCCCCTCTGTGCTTGCCATCCCTCCTGCTTGAGTTGTTTGCTCAAACAAAAACAAATGAAACAAAAGCAAGTCAACAAAAACCCTGACAGGTGAATGTCAGCGAGGAAGGATGTGGTTTGACTTGTGATTTGGGGGAATATCAATCCATCATGACGGGAAGGAATAGAAGCAAGAAGCTTAGTTTGTGTCACCAAGAGTGTGAAGTAGTTGGTTAGACCCTGGCAGCCAACCAGAAAATAGAGACTAGACCAGAAGCAGGAATGGATTATAACTTTCAAAGGGCCACCCCAATGATGGAACTTTACTCATTAGGCTACAGTGCCTTTGGGACTGGGGTTTTCCAGCCTTCCAGGCTGGTGTCATCATCTGATGACAGTGTTCAAACACATGAGCCTAGAGAGATCACTTCAGGTTTAAGCCATACCACTCTATCAAAAAATGCATTGTCATTTTTTTTGTCTACTTGCAGTCCTTCTTTTAAAATTGCTCTTTAGGTTAGAAAAAGATAACAAATGTATTCAGGCATTCTGCCACTATCAACCATAACCTACCAGGTTTTAGCTTTGAGTAATGATTTTTTTCTCTTTACCTTATTTTATGTAATTCCTGTCATTTCTAGACAGCTTATGATGAACTGTGATCTTTCTCCTCCTTGCCAGTAAAGAGTTAATAATCATATGTAAAATATTCAACATGGCAGCTAAAACACAGGAAAGACAGAATGGCCATCTGTGGTACTCCTTCCATCTTCTTTATCTTACTTAGTGTATCTCATGGTTTCTGGCTCTAGGTAACCCCTGAAGCTTCATTTAATTGGTTAAGTTGTGAGAAACAGTGTTTCTCTCCTCAGGTGGGGTAGCAAATAGACATGGGGTAGCAAGAAAGACATAGGGTAGCAAGTAGAAATCCATCACCGAGGCTTTTGGGCAAAGGTAGCCAGCTGGCTGTGTAGAAGGCTTCTGATTACATGGTACAACACTAAGCTATGGTTGAAGGCAGAACAACAGTGAATAAGCCAAAGGATTCATCTATCTATCTATCTTTCTATCTTTCTATCTTTCTATCTATCATCTATCTATCTATCATCCATCCATCCATCTATCTATCATCTATCTATCATCCATCCATCCATCTATCTATCTATCTTCTATCTATCTATTCATCCATCCAGAAACTAAGGTCCATGAAGGATGATGATTTTTCCATTGTCATTCAAGCTGGTGGTGGGGAGACAAGAATCTAAGCTTCAATCTCCTGCTACCGCTTTCCATCTTCTCTCTTTTAAATGTCAACCCTAGAACTTCTTTTTCCTGCCAGAAAGTAGCTGATGAATAGAATTTGTCAGCCCAAGGGGTCTCCCTAAATAAGCAGGCCAGAGAAGAAATCTAATCTAGTCTGTTTCCAACTCTCAGATCTACTTTAGAAATGGGTGGGGTGGAGCAGACAACCACAACAGCTGTGCTTGCCTGTTCCCCTTTGACTAAATACTAAAAATATGTTTTTTGTTTTAATCAGTGCTTGGGTCCAATAAAGTTTTTCAAGACGTTGGAGCTTGTGGCTCTCCAGATTGTTTTATTTGTCAGAGCATTTAGCAATACTCTCTTTTCATTTGTATGTTTCACGTGGTCAGATGTCTGCTGTCCCTACCATCTTAGCATATTCCCCAGGCATGAAAGAGGAAGTGTTATTCACTGGGAGGTGACACTGCTGACAAGAATGTCTGAGCACTGAGCCTGCGGGAAGGGACACTTCTGCAACCTTGGGTGTTTGGTAAGGAAGACAGTGAGCACAGAGCTTCATGGAAAGAAGAGTTCATGGAGACGCCATCAGATATCACTCAGGAGACCCAAGTTAACAGTTGTCTGTTCCTGCTCTCTGGAGCAGGACTTGGACAAGTACCTGGGAAGATACTAAGTGTGGCTAGATAGTAGGATGACTTGCAGGAAGGTGAAGGTGGGATGGAGAAGCTAGAGGGAGGGCTCTTCTTCATTGGTCCGGAAAGGACATTTGAGACTGGAGAGTCGAGGGAAGTCAACCGAGAAGGTACAGAGCCAGGGGCTGCCAAAACTAGGGGCTATGTCCAGAGACAGCAAGTCAGCAGGTGTTAGGAATTTGAGGAAGAGCAAAGAAATCTAATTTCATAAAAAATAGCAATTAAAAGAAAAAGGAAATCCTATGTTCTGTTCTGAACTGCCTTAAAGTCACAAAGTTCTCCACCCGCCACCCACACATCTTCCAATTCCTCTTGGAGATCCAAGCAGACTCCCCCTACCACCAGCCAGCTCTTAAGCTCTCCCTGCTAGGCACATCTACACTAAGAGCCAAAGCTTATCGCTGCTGAGGTGTAAATGACTAATTAGGCAGTGCAGTGTTGCAACTTACCTGACTCAAAACACATTTTACAATTATTGTGCTGTTAACAATCATTATCCATTTTAAACTCAAAACCACATTTTAAATCGTGGCACCAGAGCCCCACTAGAACAGGTGAAACTACCCATCACCTGCTGGGCAGCTCTGCCTTGCTGCTGTTCCTGCCCTGTCTCCAGGACTCTCCTGCTTTTTCAGCCTCCACATGCTTCACACCTTGATTTTCCTGTTTCTGCCTCTCTTCCTGAGGGGTCATGGCTTCACAACATTTGTTTACCTCTAAGCTGTGACATTGGACTCAGGACATCAGCTTAACCTGGACTGGCACATTGCTGGATGTTCCAGTCTTCTCCTAATTAATGCTCATCTTGAAAAAAAGAAAAAGAAAGAAAGAAAGAAAAAGATCACATGTGGCTTTTAGAGATTGTTAGTTTACAAAAGTGATTTATCGTTCTCAGGATAACACAATGAGACACAACACAGAATGCAAGGAGAAAAAGAAGAGTTTCTCACATGCAAGAATATCAACAGTGATGGTATTTTCCATTATGGAACACTATATGATGATTTCTCAAGAATTTCTGCATAGAAGTATCATATTTTCCAATAATCCCAATCTGGGGCTGGGAAAACACAGACTCCTAGAAGTGTGTGTCCACCCATGTTCAGAGGAGTATTCTGTACAATGGCCAAAGAGTATGTATGTATGGATTATTAATGAAGATGTGGCATTTGCATAGACTGAATTATCACCCATTCCTAAAAAGGAAGCTCTCAACTATACATACCACTGGGTGGATGGAGTTAAGAGATGTGCTATAAAGGAGAATCCAGTTACCAAAGAATGGATTTTGCATGATTCCACTTACACGAGGGATCTACAACAGTCAGAGACATCAAGACAGAAAATACAATGGTGATTGCCAGGAGCTGGAAAGAGGGAACAATGGAAAGTCAATGTTCAGTGGGTGTCAACTTTCCATGTGAGATGATGAAAAAAATTCTGGAAGCATATGGTTGGTGATGGTTCTCAGTGTGAATGTTACATTTTTTTCTCTGAGACAGAGTTTCACTCTGTAGCTTTGGCTGGCCTGGGACTTGCTATGTAGACTAGGCTGGCTTTGAACTCAGAAATCTGGCTGCCTCTGCCTCCTGAATGTTTGGATGAAGTTTTGCATAGCACTTGGCTAATATAAATGTTCAAATGCCAGTGAACTATATACCTATAGGCAGTCAAACGAATAATTTTTAAGTTTCTTATTACATTTATTTGCTTATTTTGAGTGTATTTGTGCACAGGTGTGCCAAAGAGCACTGTACGGGAAGTCAGAGGACAACTTGCAGGAGTAGGTTCTCTCCTACCACTTGGGTCCCAGAATGGAGCTCAGACCATAGGCGTGGCAGCAGAGTGTTTACTTGCTGAGCCATCTTGCCAGCCCATTAAAGTAATACGTTTTATGTTTGTATATTTAGCCATGCCCACAAAGACAATGATTAGAGTTGAGACAGTTGGAAGTAAGGATAGGACTTTTCACTCTTTCTTGGTTGGAAGCCTGATATTGTCTTCACTCATAAATCCACTCAAGGAATTTATTCCCTGAATACTGACGAAGGCCATTGTATGTTCCATTCTCAGTATGCAAATTGTAACAATGGACCCAGCATCTCCCTTTGCAAATTTCCTATTAGAGGAGAATGTTTAAGTGGAAGCCAGTCTGTAACCAAATACAATGAGTTCACATGTTGGCTGAGTTCAAAGATAAAAGTCTAGGCAAGAAGAGTGGAGAATGACTTTGGAACCAGTAAGGGGAACATGGGAGTTACTCCCAAAGTAATGGCCTTCCCTCCAACAAAGAAAGTGTAGGGCTTTTTGTGTAGGAAATGTGAAAGCATTTGTGGGCACATTCCTGAGCATGCTCAGTTAGGAATACCTATGTGAACATGTTCTGCTTACGTTCACTACTTAAGAAATGATAATAGACACACTCAGGGGCATGCCTGATTCAAGGCCAAGAAACACCGCATGACTGAAAAGCTAAAATGGACAAGAATGCCTCTGAGTATAGACAGCTTACCATATAAAGTTTAGGCAAAAATAAAAGAAAGGACAGGACACTTGGAAGGTGTGCTAATGTAGGAGTTGGTTCTTAAAGGTCTCACTTACTGGCTAATAAGTCTACCAAGGAAACTTTCAGTAGAAATGATTTGTAACGATTACAGGAACGAAGTGTAACAGGTTTCACTGCTCTTATGATCAATGTCACCTTGTTCTAGCCTGAGGCTGGCCCATACATGAATAAGTAACCCTAAGTAAAATGCATGGTTTCACACAGCAATGGAAAGTACATTTGGCAATGTCTCTGATGGTCCTGGACATTCACATTCCATTTTCAGAGTTCAAATGGTCAGGAAAACAATTTCAGTGAGATTTTGGGAATGTCTGTCCAGGTTCCCTGTCTTACTCTCTCTCCTCTCCTCCCACTCTTTATTTGGGCCCAAGTTATCATGCAGCTAACCCATACAGCCTTTGCTCTGGCCATTCACTCTGACTCCTTCAGGGTAATGGTTAGGGTCTCAGAGTATAGTTCTTGGTACCATCTCTGCGGTGAGCATTCTCAGGTAGACATTTTGATAACTGGATATGTAACAGGGTCTGAGTGGAGGCTGTTGATGTGAAGTTTTTGCTGAGCTAAATCCTTAGCCTTGGCATGCACATTCCTAAATACTCAAGTTCTGAGCTCAGTGCTAGGAATTCTGTCCAAGAGTGCTCAGTCTCTTTACAAACAAACAAAAACAAAAAATAGCCGTCTTTATTGTTAAGGCATGGCAAACCACAGGATGGTAGACCGGAAAGCTATTCGGACATCTTTACCTGCATTAGTTTTAACTAATGTTAATATGATGTTTTATATTCGAAGCATCATTCCAAGGAGTTTACACACATTCAATTCCCACGAAAAAGAAAACCCTGTAAAACAGTCTTACGGGCTCCACTTTATAGGCAAGGAAACTGATGCACAAAACTGATTAATTTATGAAGACCATACAGCTGGTGATGAGGCAAGCCTGGTGGTCTGGCTCAGGGTTCAGGTCTTCAAGCCCTGCCCGACAAGACTGCCCACTTTGCTTGGGGAACACAAAGGAACTTCAGAGACAACCGTGAAATCTTAAATGTGGAATAACTGAAGGGATTTTAGGCCAGTCTAAACAGCAGTGTTCATAAATATTATTTTGTGAGAGGAGGGGAGGGAGATAGGGTGGCTAATTTGTTTTGTAGCTGAGGGATTCCAGTAAATTTTTATTATACCACAAGAAATTAGACTCGGTTCTTTCAGTTTCTAGAACAGGCAATTTGTTCTGGTCACTGCTCATAATAACCTTGTTTGGGTTAAACAGACCCAACATCTCTAGTCATTAATTTCGTGTGAGTAGTATACCCCTATACACGCAAGGGATGGTTTATGACTGTAGAAAACCACCCTCCTCAATGTTAAATATCTGAGTTGGACAGTTTTTTTTTTTTCTTTTCTAAACACACAGAAAACTTGGGGACATTTTTTTATTGCCTTTTGTGACTCTTGTACTGAAAAACGTTGAGTGATTGAAGTCAGACTTTAGCTTCAATTCTGCACCAGCACTTGTTGGGCCCCAGTAAACCCTAGCAATCTCACCAACAAGTGTGGGGATTAGTGAAATACATACATTAAGAGGCAAAATGCACAGCCGGGGCACATGTCCCGTGCCAGCTCTCCTAATCGCTGGGCATTGTGTCATCATCGGCTGTTGGTCTGACAGGGATTTTGCAGGCATGACTAAATCGGAGGACATAAGGTCCTCCTCTGACCCTATGTTCTGAGGCTCAGAAAGGCTTGAGATATTTCAATACCTTGCTGACATTTGCCCCCAAGGCTATTAGACTCCCAATAAAATTTCAGGCGTTTCCACATCTTTCTTTAGTTATGGAGCTTATTTTCCCAGAGTTGGCCAGAATATTCCACATGCAAACATGTTTGTATCTGGAATCCACCTACTCTCCAGAAAAAGGAAGTGATCAGCGGGATTTTAATTTTCTTCTGGGGGCGGGGGGAAGCAAAAGGAGGAGTCCATCAAATTAAGAAATTAGGAGCAAAAGAATTACGTGTGTTTTTCTTGTTGGATCATTTGCTTCTCCTGTTAGCTGTTCGCATTTGTTTTTCCTTTAACGTCTAAGAAATTATTTTATAGAACCTCTTTCGGTCAAGAAAGAACGCACTTGATCCTCAGCAGCTCCAAGCACGCAGTAGCCTGTTCTGCTGACCCACCTAGAAGAGTCTAGGAAGTTTGCCCCACGTAGTGACATAGGCCCCCCGGGGCAGGTAGATGCCTCTGGATTGCTGTCTCTCGTTCTCTGGCGTGAACAGAGCAGGTTTGTTCCTTGGCGGGCAAGGGCCATCGGTCCCTCTGCC